CTTTGGGTTCGAAAACGTGAATTCGGACGCTCGAGGGGCGTGTGCGGGGAAGGCACTTGCTGGCTCCATGGGGAGCTGCCGGGCTCGCCCTGTAGGCACCTCCCTGTGCCCTCCGGGCTGTGCGGGGTCTCTGCTGGCAGTCCTGTTCCCTGGGACGTGCCGGCCCACAAGGGGTTTCCAGGTCACTTCAGCGAGTTCGTTCCTGGAAGGAGTTACCCAAAAGTCCTTTCCGTAGCTAGGGCCCCCGGTGCTGCGTCTGTGCGGTGCAGCTCTGGCCCCGGTAACCTTGGGGACCCACTGCCATCGCAGTCAGCATCCATCACCCTTCCAGCTCACGTTTAGAACTCTACCCTGGGCCACCTTTGTGACCAGCTCCTCTGATTTCCCCGCGATTACAGGTTTTCTGCATTTGGGTGGCCTTAGGACTGCTTTGTACAATTATATCTTTGCCAAAAAACACCAAGGGACCTTTATTTTGAGAGTGGAGGATACAGATCAGAATCGGGTGGTGCCCGGAGCTGCGGAAGGAATAGAAGATATGTTGGACTGGGCAGGTATTTAGAAACGTCTTTCATTTTTCACTTACTGAACGCTTCTCTTTTAGAGATGAACAGCACTCACACTGAGGGCGGGTGTGACTCTGTCTTTCTGGGGACTGTTGTGATGGCCCAGCTGTTCAGTCCTGCTGTGCTCCTGTTCTAGGTATCCCCCCCGACGAGAGCCCGTGCCGAGGCGGCCCCCGCGGTCCGTACGTGCAGTCGCTGCGGCTGGAGCTGTACCGAGGTGCCAGCGCGGCGCTGCTGGAGAGCGGGGCTGCCTATCGCTGCTTCTGCACCCCCCAGCGCCTGGAGCTGCTCCGCAGGGAGGCCCTGCGCTGCCAGCACACCCCGCGGTACGAGCCCCTGCCCCCGGGCACCTTGCGGGCTGCACACTGCCCAAATGACAGCCGTGCAGCAATGGGGTCGTGTGTCACTGCCCGTGGAGAGACAAACCTGCGCCACCTTCAGAGGCTTTGGGGAGCGCCCTCCCGAGATGAGGTGTTTGACTGGACACGTGCTGGGCAGGTTACAGCTGAAATTCAGGGATCGGTGTAGGTTTTTGGGAGTGTAAAAATGACTGATGGGGTTGGGCTGTTCTGAACTGAGACTGTTGTTCTCATCTCCCAAAGATATGACAACCGGTGTCGGCACCTGACGCCCGCGGAAGTGGCCCAGAAGCTGTCACAGGGCCTCGACTACGTCGTCCGCTTCCGGCTGGAGAAGGGTGTGGAACCCTTCCAGGACCTGGTCTATGGCTGGAACAAGCACGAGGTGGCTGAGGTGGAAGGCGACCCCGTGATTCTCAAGGGGGACGGGTTCCCCACGTACCACCTGGCAAACGTGGTGGATGACCACTACATGGGCATCACCCACGTGCTGCGTGGGACCGAGTGGCTGACCTCGACCTCCAAGCACCTGCTTCTCTACAAAGCCTTTGGCTGGGAGCCCCCTCAGTTTGGGCACCTCCCGCTGCTGCTGAACAAGGACGGTGGGAAGTTGTCCAAGAGGCAAGGGGACATCTTCCTGGAGCGCTTTGTTCGGGATGGCTTCCTGCCAGAGGCACTGCTGGACATCGTCACCAACTGCGGCTCAGGATTCACAGGTAACACCACAGGCTCCTGCTTGCCAGGTCACTTGGTGCTGACTTTGGCAATGGGTTGAGTTTATTTTAATAGCTAAGAACTTTGTCAGTGTTTGAAGGGGTGAGGAAAAGGGTGCCAGTGACCAGTCAGCACTGAAATGCCACCAGGGCTTTTGCGGAGCTCCTGTGAAAGGAACTGGAATGGTGGAAACCTCTCTGCCTCTGTGCAGCCTTTTAAAATTGAGTCTGGTGCCTAATGGGTTCCCACCTGGGACAACCCTCACCTTGAGGCGGAAAAACTGTCTGTGAACTCTTGGGAAAACTTGTATACCGTGGATAATAATTGCAGTGCTGTCTAACATCTGCCCCACTTCTTGTTTAACCTGACAGGTCAGTCTCCTTTTGTGGCTCTTGCTGTGTGGGGATCACAAATTAACTCATGTTTCGGGAGCTCTGCTTGGGATTGAAATCTTCTTGGGCAATGAAGTCTTCTGGCTGAGTGTTACTTCTCTTTGTCTGACTGAGGAGGGCAGTGGAGCCAAGCGGAACGTCCCATTTCCCAGTGCCTCACCAGCAGCTGGCAGAGCCTGCTCCTGGGGAGGGGACAGCATTCCATGTGTGCCTGCTGCCAGCTCCCTCCTGCCTGCCAGGGGTGTCCCTGCTGCTGCTGGCACTGCACAAGTGGCTGTCCTGTGTCACCTGTCCTGGGCGATGCTGCTGCCCCAGCCTGAGGCCTGCGGTGAGAAGGAGTGGGAGAGGGGACGTGTGTGATTCCCTTTGGGTTCTGTTGCAGAGAAGCAGATGGGGAGGACTTTGGAAGAGCTGATCTCACAGTTTGAAATAGGCAGAATTACCACCCATTCTGCCCTCCTGGATCTTGAAATGCTCCCAGAATTCAACAGGTAAAAAATCAGTGGTAGCTTTTAAATGTAGTGAACAGCACATCAGTGAGAATTTATTCCTAGCACTTAGCTGTGGCTGGAGGTTTTGTTTGTGGGATCAAGCATGGTCTTGATGCAGCAGCTTTTGGGCTGTGCTATAGGGAAGTATAAGTTTGTGCTCACACCATTTCTTCCTCCTCTTGGGTCCTGTGCTTGGACACTGATGTTGGGAACACTGTGAAAGGCTAGGGAGAAGGGTGGGTGTAGCTGGGAGGATGCAAAATCTTTAGTTTCAAAATAACATCTAAAAGGAGATAACACTTCCAGAAGGTTCTTCTGCAAGTACACTCGTGCTGCTGGGACATTGTGCTGCTAAGAGTGGCCTCATCTTCAGTTTACTGTGGGGCGCCAGAGCTAAATGTTTCATTGTAGAAATGAATGTGGTTTAATGTTGTTTTTCTAACGGTTCCACAGTTTTAACTGGTAAATGTGGTTGGGGTGACTAGATCAAATCTAACCCAAAGCAGTCCCAAAGCAGGTTTCTTCTCTGTTGCAGGATTCACCTCACCCGTCACATCGAGAACGAAGGGCTGCGCCAGAGGCTCGTTAGGGAGCTGCAGGAGCTGGTGAAGCACATCTATGGGGATCAGCAAGTGGACCCAGAGGTTCTGGAAAAGGAATACGTGGAGCGAGTCCTTCTGCTGAGAAAAGTATGAGCAGTGATAGCACTGTGTCACCATTCTGGAGCTGAGGTGGTGTGGGATTCCTGGATGGAGCTGTGCTGTGGCATAGCCTGCACATAGCTGTGTCATGGCCTGCTCCAGTGCTCGTGTGCCAGCTGGCTGCCAAAATACCCTGATACAGGCAGCTGGCCTGTGGGAATGGGCCTAGTGAATGTCCTGGTGGTCTTTGCAGAGTTATAAGCTCATCCATACCTTGCTGAGCCAGCAGAGAGCTCCCTCATGGAGAGACAACATGTCCCTGCTGTGAGAGGGATCATGGAACTGAGGGTGCTTTTGAAGACCTCTGTGCTTCCTACTGAGAGCAGAACTGTGGGTAGTGCTGGATCAGGTCAGCTGTGGCTTTGTCTAGATAAGCTGACAGTCTCCAAGCTGCTCTTCTCCTGTAGCCCAGGGAGCAGCTGGCTTGGGGCAGGAAGGTCCAGCCCCCAGATCCCTCATGCCAGCTCACCTCTCCCCTTTGCTGACTGGGCAGCGTAAGGTGTTCTGCTTTGCTGCTGCCCTGTGCCTTGGAGGCAGAGTCCAAGCAGCCTCTGCTGAGGCAGATGAAGCTGCTGGTGAAACCAGTGTGGTTTGTGTGCTGGGAGCTCAGTGAAGGGGCTGAGTGCTGGCCAGGGAAGGGTGAGCCCAGCTGTTCCCAGTCTGCCCCTGGGATGCTGCTGTAGTATCTGGGAGATTCCCTGTGAAGGATGAAGCCCTCTTTGTAGGGGCAGGACCTGACTGTCCCAGCATGATGGCTGTGTGGTGGCAGTGGGACGGTGACTCATGGCTTCCCACTGCCTGGTGAAGGGGCAGATGAACATAATCAGCCACTTCTCCAGCCAGCTCTGAGTCAGCCACACATGGCTCAGCACCTTGGGGACAACCACAGCCCTCTGAGCTGCCTCTGTGTCCCTGCTCTGAAGCTGGAAAACTCAGCTGCCTCAATGTCAGCTGGTGACATTTCTGCCGAGCAGCACGAGATACAGGGCACTGGTGTGGGGGGGGTCTCCAGCTTGGTGTGAAGCCCAGGCTGGATAGGTTTGCTTTCCCCACAGTGTAACCCTCTGCCTTGACAGCTTTGCTTTCTTTCCCCAGGGTCACATCAGCCTCCTGAAGAATCTGGTGTCAAGTGATTACTCTTACCTGTGGGTCAGGCCTTCGGTGTCCCGACAGCAGCTGCAAATGATTTCTGCAGAAGTAGATGAAATAGGAAAACTAGTCTTAGGGTAAGTATGCTGCTGCCTCAGCTCCTCATCTCTGAAAATTGTATTATTAAAAAGCAGTCAGAATTCTGCTTTTTCTGTGGTTTTCCAGGTTCTTGGCATAATTTTGTGATTTAAACTTCCTCTTTTGAATGAGCTCTGCTTCTGGTGAGCAGAGAGCGCACCCTGGCACAGTGATGGTGTGAGGGGTAGGAATCCTGTGGTTTTCTTGTCCTCAGACTGTAAGGACACCTTCTTTCCTAAAGGCTCGTGACAAGGCAGGCAGCTACCTTGACCGTGGAGGAGTTGAACAAAGACCTGAGAAACCTCCAGAAGCAAACCAGAGAGACCAAGTACAGCAGCATGATGCAGCTCCTCCGCTTGGCACTCAGTGGGCAGCAGGTACAAACAAGAGGTCTGAGAATGGGACCTTTTCCCTTTTTTCCCCCTTTCCTTTTTTGCCCCTGTTTTCTTCCCCCCCCTTTTCTTTTTTGCTCCCTTTTCTTTTTCCCCCCCATTTTCTTTTTTTCCCCTCTTTCTTTTTTTTCCCTTTCCTTACCCTTTTTTCCTCTTTCCCTTCCTTTCCCCTGTTTCCTCTTCCCTTCCCTCTCCCATTCCCTTTCCCCTTTTCCCAGCTCTCTTCTCCCTGGTACCAAGATGCTGGTACTGGGACACCTCACAGGGTCCACATCAGTTCCATGTGGTGCACACGTGCCAGTACCCAGCTGCTCTGGCCACAAGAGCTGTTCTGCACGTTTGGGAGCAGCAGCAGTGTCACAGCGTGAATATGCTGGTTATGAATCTAAAGTCAGAAAATCATCTGGAGCAGCCATAGGGAGCATTGGCACGGTTGTAGGTTTGGGGCAGAACTGGGATTTTATGTGCAATCTGCTTTCACGGAGCTCAAACCCAAGTTTTATGAAAGTTCTCCAAAGCCTAATCCTGGCTCAGCTCTGGCATTAATCCTTCAGGTCCATCTGACCAGGGCTGGCACTTGCCTTCAGGAGGAGAAACCCCAAAGCCTTGTTTGAGCCGCTCATGAACCCCCCTCCTTGCTCTGACAGCGACCCGAGAGCGAATCGCTCCATGGGTTCCGTCGGGATGGCACAGAACTACCACTGGGAAGGGCCAGTTCCACGTGGGCAGTGACTCCTTCTGTGTTTGCAGCACGGGCCGAGCGTTGCCGAGATGATGGTGACTTTGGGAGCCAAGGAAGTGAGTGGCCGGATCCACAGAGCACTGTCCAGCTGAGTGGCCGGATCCACAGAGCACTGTCCAGCTGAGTGACCGGATCCACAGAGCACTGTCCAGCTGAGTGGCCGGATCCACAGAGCACTGTCCAGCTGAGTGGCCGGATCCACAGAGCACTGTCCAGCTGAGTGGCCGGATCCACAGAGCACTGTCCAGCTGACAGGACCGCACTGACACTGCCAGGCCGCTCTCGGATGGCACAGGAGCTCGTGCCATTGTCCTCCACCTGTGGTTTTGATCTCAGCACGATTATCTCTGATCAGATGAGCTGGGCTTTAGATCAGGCAGGTGTCCATGCTGTTTCCAGGTCTGTTTGTACCTGCACTAAACACAAACCACTTTGTCTGGAAGAGAAACCAAATCCAAATTCAGCTGTGTCCTGCTGTCACTTTGTGCATGGAGCCTGGTTTGTACAGGGAGCCTGGTTTCCAGGGTGGGAGAAACATTTATCAGCATTTAAATTCAGACCACGTGGACAGGAAGTAACTGCTGATAGCAGCAGATGAGTCTCTTTTTGGAGATAGCTTCACAATCAGGGTACCTAAAGCTACGACAACACAGGTCCCCAGTAAATGCTGTGTGGGGAAAGTATTTTTATATATAGAAATATATATGTATTTGAGCTTCTACCTTCTTAGCTGCCATGGTGTCCTGCCAAGCTAAGTGAGCTGCTTGGAGAAGGGAACTCTCCTCCCTGTGTACTGTGTCATATGTGTGGTTCTGCTAAAAATATCCCCGATCCAGAGATTGGAATGTCTTTTCCTCTTTTGTCTGATGCCCTTTTAATTATTAAATTAATGTGGTAACTTTTCGTTCTGTTCTCACCAGTGCTCTGCACACCAGGGAGGGGAGGAGCTGCCGAAGGGGTTTGGGGGGTGTTTTACTGAGCCCACGCCCACAGTGAACACTTCCACACCACAAAATCTCACGTGGGCTTCCCCGGGGGCGTGCAAGGAGCGAGGGCGGGTGGATCTGCTTCCTGCTGGGGCGGAGCGGAGCGGGAGCCCATGGCCGGCACCGGGGAGCTGGAGCGGTGGCTCAGTGAGTGGGGACGGGGATGGGGTCTGGGGCTGCCTTGGCTGCTGGCACCAGTGCCACTTCCAGACTGGGTGGGCACTGGAGCAGCTCCAGCTCTGTCAGTGAGGGCCCATCATCTTCATGGAACCCCTTTAGGGTGACGTTCATGGGTGCTGTCGCTTATCTCTCTTGCCCAACTCTCCTGTCCATTCTCAGCCACCAAAGCTGGTTGAACAACAGGTTGGGGAGTGGATAAAGCAAAAAAATACTTTTTTCCCTCAATTTACTGTGTAAAAGGGAAAACAGTGTCTATGTTCCAACACAACATTTGCCGTAGGGTCCTGGGAGAGCTGCCTGGAAATACTTTTTAAGTTTCATGTGCTAAAAGCGGTATCTGCTGTGGTTGGGTTGTGCCTGACTTTAAAAGTGTGCTTGGGACTGTAATTTTAGGTGGATTTTAGTAACAGCTGTCTCCTGCTCATCCCATTTCTGCTACTAAAAGCCCCAGAGCAGCAGCAGCAGCAGCGAGGTCTGAGGCGCTTCCTGCCCTGAGCCACTCGCTCATGCTGAGGCTGAGCTCTGCTGCTTCCTTTCTTATTTTTCTCCTTCTGTAAGACAAGGCCACTGACCCGAGTATCCCTGAGGAAAACTGGGAATGCATCCAGCGGTTCTGTGACCAGGTGAACGCCGACACAGAGGGGTAAGGCAGAGGCACAGCTCTTTGTGTTCGCTCGGGCTGTGTCTGGCTCTGAGCTTCCCTCGTGGCTGGGGGGAAAGGGGCCTGAGGGAAAAGGGGCCTGGGGCTGCAGTGTGGGGAGCTGGAGAAGGAGCTGGGAATGGGCTCGGTGGGCTCTGCTGCTCCCGGGAGTGGAAATGAGTTGGAAATAGATGTATGCCAATGTGGTTGGTGGAGGGTGATGCCTGGGAATGGGCTCAGACATCCATTGCTGGAACAACACCAGACGTCAGGTCCTGCTGTGTGTAGGACCTCAGTAGCCCCTCTGGAGTCTGGCCAAGGATTCCTGATGGGGAGTTCTGCATGGAAGCCCTGAGGGAGCTCAGCCTCAGCTTTTCCTTCCTGAGGGGTGGGTGATCTCTGCTGGGACTTCCCCACCTTCCAGCTGATAGTCTGGGCTCTGTGGGACGTAGCCAGGACTAATTAGGCAAATGACCTGTGAAAGCTGAGTGGTCATCTCTGTGCTTAGAGCAGGCAGCTCAGAGCTCATAGTCTGGCACCTGTGTCATGCCCAGGAGCCAGCACAGGCTGTCAGCCGTCATCGAGGTGGCTGTGGAGAGCCAGCTCTCCTTGCCTGCCCAGAGAGATCCCCAGCCTGTTCCCACTGCTCCCTCCAAGGGACAGCCCCTGGGCACGGGGGAGGGCAGCACTGGGATCACTGGGCTCCAGCTCACCCCTCATGTGTGCCAGCCCCCGGCCAGCACTGTGCCCGAGGAAGGGGTGTCTCTCCTCTTGTGAATCCAGCAGTTGCTCTCCTCTGCAGAGCAAAACCAGGAGCATTTCTTTTTCCTGGGAACTTTGTGATCTGACTTGCTTCTGCTCCTCCCCAGCCCATTGCTTGCGCTGAGGCTGCTGGCACATAAAATCCAGTCCCCTCAGGAGAGGGAAGCTCTCCATGCACTCACAGTAAGTACTTCCATCCACACCTGGGAACAGAATTTGGTGGGTAGAACAGCATAGCAGACAGTACAGCTCTCTCTTCTCTAAGATGTCTCTCCTTTTCTGTTTTTCTTGGATGTCTCTCCCTTTTAACTTTCCCTTGCACAAGGAATACAGAAACCAGGGCAGAGCAGAGGGAGTAGCTGCTGTTGTTCCTCCCCACATCACTGCTGTAGTGTTTCTGTGGTCTGCAGCTCTGTCTGTGTGACTTGTGTCCCACCACAGGGCAGTGGCCTGGAAGTTGTTAGTGATAGGTAGAACAGAGCAGACAGCCTCAAACATGCTGCTGTAGAAAGCTGGTGAAGGAAAAATACGTGTCTTTGCTGCACAATTTTCTCAGTGTCTTGTATCCGTGAATGCAGTGCCAGAAAGTTCTTAGATTTAGGATTATAATGCAAAGTTTTTGAAAGCTCCCCAAGCCTGGTTTGTACAGTTCCTGTTGGTAACATTTTGTTTTCTGCAGGTGCTGGAGACCTGTGTGAACAACTGTGGTGACAGATTTCACGGTGAAATGGCAAAATTCAGGTTTCTGAATGAGCTGATTAAAGTGCTTTCCCCAAAGGTAGGTGGTGGTGGTTACAGGGCCTTTCAGGATGAGAAATGCAGCCCTGCTTTATCAGAGGCTGTGGGATCTTCTGGCCGTGTTCCTCTGCATCAGGGCAGGCCCGGGACCGCCTGAAATACCCTCTTGGCATCGCAGACATTGATTCCCCTTTTCGGAGGGTCCTGCACACATTTACCACTGTCACATGTTTCATTTTCCATTGCATCAGCCCGAGGGCAGAGCTGCAAAAAGCTGATTTCAGAGAAATGCTCAACTGAAGAACAAAACCCTTTCTCTCAGTCCCAGGCTTGGTAATGAAATTCTAGTGAAACCACAGAGTTTAAAGATGTCACTGCAAACAATTCTGTCTGCTGTTCTGACAGGACAGGTATCCTGATACGAGTTTGAAATGCCTGATCTTGGGTAGGTTTGTGTTTTTATAATACGTTAAAGTGAGGGCTTGTAGGCAATAATGAGAGAAATTGGAGAAAACATCCAGTGCTGATAAAAGACCATAACTTTTGTTTCTGGTTTTGTTCAGTTTTCCTGTGCCTGGGGCTGGCTGGGGCCGATGGTGGGATTGCATTGCAGCAGTTAAGGGAAGCAGTTAAAGCACAGATCTGTTTTCACTAAAATAAAACAACTCTTTTGGATTTTGGATTCAATAACTAATCAGAAAAGTTTGAAGTGGTTTCATTTTGATTGTCAGAAAATATGTATGTAATTACCATAGCATTCCTTTTGTTTACAGCCACAGCTAAAGGCACTGTTCCCTAAACCCCCAAATACACCATTGACAGCACTGTGAATAAACTCTTGTGAATCCATTTTCTCCTTGGTCTGTGGACACAAACCCCTCAGGGCCAGATCCCTGTGCCAGATTTGGCACCAGTGCTTTGGATTTGACCTTAAAATTTTGTCTTTCTTTACTGTTTTGTTTTCAGTACTATGGAACTTGGTCTTCAGAAAAAGTCAAGTTGAGGGTCACAGAAGTGATATTCAGTTGGACAGTCTGGTTTCCTCAGGAAGTCAAAATCCGGGATGCCTATCAGATGCTGAAGAAACAAGGTTCAGTTCTGTTATTTCAGTTTCCTTTTTAGCCTCCCACGCCATGTGGTTTCCCCCCACAGATATCTGTCCCCTTCAATTTGTGACTCAGCTTTTTCATAACATGCTGTGTGTAAGGAAAAGAGACAAAGGCCACACTTCCCAGGCTGGTTGGGTACTGAAGGATGCATGGAACTGTTTAAAAGGATTTACCAAAGAACAGCCTCCCTGAGTCACAGCTCAGGCTGGCCTGGAGGCCTCTGTTCACACAGTGCTCACACTGTGTGCAGGGAAAAGGTACAGGACAAACTCAGAATGATCTTTGCCCTGGAATACTCTCCCAGGATTATGATAGATGGGTTCAGAGGGTTCCTGAGCTGAATTTTTTTATCCATTCCATTATATTTAATAGTCCTCGGTGGTAATCCAGAAATCCCATGCAAACCCCCCCACACTGTTGAGCATCAGGGTTCCAGCAGCTCAGGCAGCGCTGAACAGCTACTGTTACCTGTTCCAGGGATTGTTAAAGAAGATCCTAAACTACCAGAAGACAAAATTTTACCCCCCCCTTCTCCAAGACCTCAGAATTCTATTTTTGACACAGATGAAGAGAAATCCAAGGTAAACCTTAGAGTTTTCATGACGCCCCCTCTGATTTGTACTGATGAGAAAAGAGGCTTAGTAATATTTTGGGAGCTCCTACTGTTTCAAAGAAACTATCTCAGAATAATGTTGATCCTTCCTGTGGTACAACAGCTAGAGAATGCTGTGAGACTTTGTCAGAAATGTTTGCTTTGTAAAAAGTGAAACTTCTTTATAGAAAAGCATCAGTTTCTATGAAACCTTCCCAAGGAAGGGCTTCTCCAGGTCTTACAGAAGTTCTGCAGAGCCAGAGAGTTCCTAATCCCAACAGCCAAACTCTGTGCAGGCAGCATTATAACCTGAATTAAATCATGGGACAGGAGCCCACATATTTCCAGGATTACAGGAACTGGAGTGTCTCTGTGTGATGTGTGCCTGTAGCACAGTGCCCAGAGGCTGCTGCTCACTGCTGTCCCATCTCTGCCCTGACAGCTCCTGGCCAGGCTTCTGAAGAGCAGCCACCCCGAGGACCTGCAGGCAGCCAACCACCTGATCCAGAGTGTGGTTAGAGAGGTGGGAGCTCCTGGGGGAGAAGCTTGTTTGCAGCCAGGGAGGGTGGGAGGGCATGTGGCATTCAGTTTTTGGCAGGAGACCCTCTGTACTGGATCAGAGTACAGCCCCAGAGGAGGGGCCATTTTCAGTCTTCATTATTCTGAATTTACAGTATGGGACCATTTTGTTTTGTTTTGCTAAAATATGCCACTGTGAGGAAGAGGGAAGATGTGAATGTCTATAGCCAGGAGCCTGGGTGGTGGGACACTTCCCCATCAGGGGGATCCTGGCAGTAGGACTGCAGTAGTGGTAGGAAATTTCCAAAATAAACTCAGTTCCTAGGTGGAAAACAGCCACATCTGTACAGAAGTGCTTCTTTCCTGCACACAGTGTGTGTGTGCATGTCTGGCCTGTCCATTTTCGTGTTCCATCTGAAACAGCATCCCACTTCGCTGCTTAGGTAGGAGATTTGGTTTAACAAATCCCTCTGGTCATTTTGAGCACGTTGTTCTGTGTGGCAGAAACCACCAACTCCCAGCTCGGATTTTAAAGTCTCACTCATGCCTGTGGTGAGATGGATCCTGTATGGACCAGCACAGGGCCAGGGTGCCCTGAGTGGGGCAGGGGGATTCTCTCTCTGCCCTTGGCACGGAGGTGGGATGCAGCTGGGAGCATGTTCTCACCTGTCCTGCTTTGTGTCTCCTCTACCTGCAATCAGGTATTTATAGGAAGGAACTCCCCAAGTGTGACCCAGAGTGCCCCAGCCAAGCACATGCACTGGGTGTATCAGCCAAATCATCATCGACCTTTATTTCATTTTTCATCACAGGAACAAGAGAGGTCAGCTCAGGTGTCCCGACGAGTGAAGGCCATCAGCGAGGTTTCTGAGAATGTCAAACAAATGGATGAGTTACTGGAGAACTACAGGAGACAAGAATTATCCCCAGCAGACCAGGAGACCCTACAGGTAAATGTTCTCTTTAATGCTTAAATGCTCTTCTTCCTCCCTCTTCTGGAGGGAGCATCACTTTCGGGTAATCACGGAGATGCAGGTGTGAGTGTGCCTGGGGTCTCCTGAGCAGTGACATGAAACATTTCATCCCCAGACTCTGTTCCAGCGCTGTGAGAAGCTCAGGCCGCTGCTGTTCCGCCTGGCCAGCGAGGCGGTGGCTGACGATGAGGTTCTGGGTAAGAGCCAGCACAGTCCTTGCATTTCTTTGCAGCTCAGTTTGTCACCCTTGCTGTGACAGGGGTGTGCCTTTCCTCTGGGAGGGGAGTACTTGGGCACTTGGTACCCAAAGGTACAGGCAAAGCTCTGCGCTTTCCCCATGCCCAGGGGAATGGCACTGAGTCTCCTGCTGCCCCTCTAGGAGGAAGCTGTTCTCACTTGAAGCCCAGAGTTAAACAGTGAATCCGTTTCTTCCAGCTGAGGTGGTTTCCAGAGTTTTTGGAGTTCTGATGTTCAGAGAACTGAAGGCTTTTGAGACCTTTTCTCTCCAGAGATTGAAGTTCTTCCTGTCTTTAAACACAGAAGGGAGAATATGTTTTAAATTTTGTAAGTGTAATAGTGAGGAGGGTCATAAGAGCAGAATCTTTGAATTCCACAGGTGTGAAACTTAGTCCTTCCCAGAGGATGGCATTACAGTCCCGTCCATATGCTTTGAAAACCTGACTGAGGTGGTGATTGCTGAACAGACACCTGAAAAAGCAACCACAAGAGCTCAGCTGTGCCTTACACCTTCCTTTCACATCCACGGATGCCAGGGCTCTTCAGCTGGGGAGTGCTGGATTATAGACTCGAGTACACTGGGAAAAATGCAGAAGAAATGGCAGTAACTAGAAGTACTTTAGAGATGGGATCAGATTTCACAGTGATCTTGCTAAATGACAGAGAGGTCTGAAATCAGCAGCAGTGTGTGCAAAATGGAATGAAAGGCAAGTGAGGAGCTGAGGACAGGCTGCTCTACTGGCCTTTGCTGCAGGCAGGTCCTCAGGTGCACTGTCCCTTTCTCATGAGCAGTTTGGAGAGTGCTGTGGAACTGCCCTGCCCTTCCCCTTAGCACATCAATGTTTTGTTTGTCCTCTCTGTCCCCAGCTGAGATCCTGCAGGCCAGTGACGAGCTCACGCGGGTGCTGGGGCAGTACAGGCAGGCTGTGTCCCTCGGGCAGTACGGGCAGGCTGTGTCCCTCGGGCAGTGCGGGCAGGCTGTGTCCCGCCAGGAGAACGGCGATGGAGAGGGTTCATCCTCCAGCTCTGCCCACGTGCCAGGTGAGGAGCACCTGCAGCTCTGCTCCTGTGTGTCAGCGGGGAGGGGTTTGGAAGGGAATAAATGTGGAGAAAATCTTACAACACAGGAAAAACATTATGTAACCATTGTCACCTTTTGCATTTCTGATGGCAATGTTCCTCTCTGGCTCTCTCTGTTCCCAGTGTGCCGACCAGCCCCGCGGCGCATGAAGAGCTACACCCTGATGGACTTCTCCGAGCTGGAGGCCACAGCCCAGCCTCCCTCAGAGCCCTTTGCAGACACAGCCTCGGCCTCCCGCCATGGCAGCACAACCTCCACGTGCCTGCTCGAGGAGGAGTTACAGGCCTTAGGTCTGTAGCCCAGTTCAGTGCTACCCTTCTTACTGGGGTTCGTGGTGATTCATAAAGAGAGGAGAGCTTTGGCTTTAATGTCAGTCCCAAGAGAAAGTAGAGCCTTTCGGTCCTATGTTTTGAGGAATACAGTGTCTTTAGTGGTGTTAGACTGTAGCCAAACCACGGTTAGACAGCAAAGGAAGAACCTGTGGAAAACCCTTGTATTCTGTAAATTATCTGTGGCATTTTGGCATCTTTCTTAGGTCTGAGCAGTGACAGCCAGCACTCCGTAATGGCTCCTTTCCTCACAATCTGCCATCTCCTTCTTTTTTGTGCCTGGCAGGAGGAGTGTGAACTTCTCACAGCCTTCCCCTGTAGCTGACCCCACTTTACAGGACCCTGCTGGAGAGCTCTGTCATACACACCTTCCCTGCCACTTTATGGGCCCATTTGCCCTCTTCCCCCCTACTTTTTGAATTAAAAAAAAAAGTAAATCCACACCACCACTCAGCCCTCGTGCCAGTGTGCCTGGAGCAGGGGCTGTTCCAGGGATGCAGGGACATCCCCGACCCCGTTCTTCCTGGGCTCTGTGTGCGAGGTGAGGCAGGAGCGGGATGGGCGGTGGGAACGGCACCAAAGGGAGGATGAGAGGTGACGGTGCAGGCTGGGACCGGGCTGGGCGGGCGGTGCGCGGGGAACCGGGGGGCCCGGCGGGGCGACGGGCACTATGGGCCAAAGCCTGTGCCGAGGGGGCCCGGGGTCCGTCAACCGCGGGACCGCCCGGGACTGCCCGCGGGACCGCCCGGACGCCCGGACGCCAGGGACTGCCCGGGAACCGCCCGGGACCGCCCGGGACGCCGGGGGACGCGCCGGGACCGCCCCGGACCCCCCCCCCCCCCGCCCGGACCGCCGGGACCGCCGGCGTCGCCCATGGACCGCCGGACGCACCCGGGACGCCCCGGGACTGCCCGGGACGCCCGGGACGCCCCGGGACGCCGAGCCCGGGACGCCCGGGACGACCCCGGGACCCGCGGTATGCGTTTCGGGTGCGCGGCGGGGCGCTGGCGCTGATGGCTGGGGCCGTGTCGACGGCTGTCCCGGGCCGTGTCCGGCTGTCCCCGTGTCCCCGCTCCCGGCTGTCCCCCCGCCCCGGGCCGCGGCGATGGATTTCTCGCGGTTCCTGTCGGACGAGTTCGAGGTGAAGGGCTGGGTGAACGCGGCGTTCCGCGCCGTGCAGCAGGAGGCCCCGGGCAAGGTGGACGCCCACGCCGCCACCCTGGTGATGAAGCTGCAGCTCTTCATCCAGGAGGTGAACAACGCCGTGGAAGGTGCGGGGGCTGGGCTGGGGGGCTTTGCTTGGCGTGGGGATGTGTCGGGCCGAGTCCTGTGCGGGTTTTGCGGCCCCGCTTCACCCCAGCTCGTGTGCTCCTGAGATCTGTGTCCTGGTACCTGGATCCTCCTGAGGTGCACAGGAGGTGATGACAGGGAGACCCGTGCGGGCCACCCGAGGGCGTGTTGGCGATCCAGGCCTGGCCTTGGCAGAGACAGAGGGATCCTTACACCGATCTGGGGTCCCGTGATTATCCACCAGCACATCTGTGCTGAGCGCTGACAAACAGCAGCCCCTGCCAGGCTGGGTTAAATGGGATAATAGGGAAAATTTCTTCCCCATAAGGTTTGTCCAGCCCTGGTACAGCCTGTGAGGGCAATTGTGGAGTCACCATCCCTGGAGGGGTTTAAAAGCCTCCTGTAAGTTGGTACCTGGGGACATGGGTTAGTGGTGGCCTTGGCAGTGCTGGGGGAACAGCACTGAACTGTTGGGAACAGTTGGACTCTGGTCTCAGAGGGCTTTGTGATTCCATGGTAAAGTACCTATTTAAACTTTAAAGAAACAGCTGAAGTTTTGTTGTTTGCTGTTTTGCTGTGTTGTGTTGTTTTTTTCAAGTACTGAAGATTAAATAAGATTATTGAAAGACTCCCCCATTCCTCCAAGGGCTCTCAGCACTCCTCACTGACTCCTCAGTGTTTCTGCAGAAACAAGCCATCAGGCTCTCCAGAACATGCCCAGAGTCCTCCGGGAGTTGGAAGTCTTGAAACAGGAGGCAACATTTCTGAAGGAGCAGATGATCCTTGTTAAAGAAGATATAAAGAAGTTTGAAGAAGACACAGCCCAGTCGATGCAGGTCAGTTCTTATAGGTTAGATATTAGAAAAAGGTTCTTCCCCAGAGGATGGTCGGGCACTGAACAGGCTCCCCTGGGCAGTGGGCCCAGCACCAAGGCTGACAATGTTCAAAAAACATTTGGATGATCCTCTCAGGCACATGGGATGACTCTTGGGGATGGTCCTGTGCAGGGCTAAGGGTTGGACTTGATGGTCCCTTCCAACGCGGCATATTCTGTGATACTTAGTGTTTATCTGCAGCTTGTGAAATTTAAAATTTGTGGAAAGGTGGATGTGACCCAGACCTGTGCAATCTGCATGTCCTGAGGAACAGCTGCTCAGGTGTCAGTTCAGAGCTGCTGGTACCTGGCTGGGGCACTGCTTTCTGCCTGGGGTGCAGAGCATTTTCAGGCAAAGTGGATACTAAAAGTACAAGACCAGAATTCAAACTAACCTAAACTAACCTTTCGTTGTTTGACTTTGAAAGTTGATTTTACATCTCTTGCATCTCAAGTTCTTTCTGCCCATTCCTTCCTCTTTGTAACGTCATAATCTTTTCATACCATTTTTTTTTTAAGTCCAAGACAAAAATAACTCTGCTGAAATAAGCATCCATGGCAGTCACCTCTTTTTTCAGCGGGCAACATAGTGTTGTTTTTTCTTCAGGTCTTGGTAGAGATTGACCAAGTGAAGTCTAGAATGCAGTTGGCTGCCGAGTCACTTCAGGAAGCAGACAAATGGAGCACGCTAAGTGCAGACATTGAAGAGACTCTTAAAACACAGGTAAATACTGAATTATTCTGTTTGGTCTTTGTACCTTCAGCTTTCCAGTGAACTGCGTTTAAAAGTAGGCTTTAGAAGTGACTCTCAAACATGTTGCTGTTTGAAATGTCGTTATGAAACTGGTGCTGATGCTGTCTGAGGTCACCCTTGGTAACAGGCTGCCTTTGCTGCTGGCAGGATGTGTCCCTGATTTCGGCCAAGCTGACGAGCATGCAGAGCAGCCTGGCCATGCTGGTGGACACGCCGGATTACTCCGAGAAGTGTGTGCACCTGGAGGCGCTGAAGAACCGCCTGGAGGCCATGGCCAGCCCTCAGATTGTCGCAGCTTTCAACTCCCAGTCTGTAGGTCAGCAACACTTGGTGTCATTTACTATCAACATAGAGTTTATTGTCTTTAAGGTGGTGTTTGGGTGGGGAGTTGGTGTCCTGAGGGCTCCTGGTGCTGGGTCCCGAGCTTTCCTGGTGGAGCAGATGCCCTGGAATGTTTTGTGCTCTACAGCTGCCTGAGATGGAGGTGCTGAGGCAGGGCTGCCCTGCTCTTGTAGTTTAGTTATGTCAAGGATGCTCTCCAGGTAGGAAGTGCTTCTCAGAAGGCCCCTTCTTCAAAGCCTGGTTTTGTGTTACCATGGTGCTGCTGGGCATTTCTGTTACAGCTGGGGGGTGTAATCAGGAAGGAAATTTGTTTGGAAACATTCTGACTCCTTGCTGCCTTATAAAAGTGGCTTTATAAACTCTGCTTAGAAAACTAGTCTTTTTGGACTGTTCTCTATGCTCTTCCTTCCCTCTACTCCTGTCAGCACTTCTGAAAAGTACTTTTTCTGGTTGTTGACTCTCAGCTGTGTGCACCTCGAGGTCCCAGGGGGTCTGGGGCTGTGGGGTACAAACCAGACTATTTAGGAACCTGTGTTTCCAAGCTCTATGCAGGAGCTCACTGTGCTATGGGTCACTCTAAGGCACAGGGGTCAGTTTGAAGACAGGTGAAAGCAAACCTGAGGCCTTTGTCAGGAATGCTCCAGTTTTGTAAGTAGTGCCTTGTTTCTGGAAAACAACATTGTCCTTCTAGGAAATGCTCTGTCTTTATCTGACTTTAATACCAGGTACACATGCTGGTTAAGAAGTTAATTTTAAGAAGTTAAATTAATTCCTCTTGTCTGCTGCCTGTTCTTGATTGAGGGTGGGCTTTAGGCAGTTTCTCTCCTGTTTGAGAAGATAAGCAAACAAGAGGTGAAATGTATCTTTCTGTGTAGGTCTTTGTGCACGCTCCCTTAGGAGAAGAATTCTTGCTCAGACTGATGTCTCTCCCTCAGCTTTGAGGCTGATCCTGACTGCCTGTTGTTTTCTTTGGTTTAGATCAGGCAAAAACGTTTGTTAAAGTTTTCACAGAAATCGATCGGATGCCGCAGCTTCTGGCTTATTATTATAAATGTCACAAGGTAAGCGTTTTGGTAATATTTTAACATTCTAGGAATAAAAATTGCAATGCTTGCTGGGCTTTGACTGCAGAGGGAGCTGCTGCCCCACGGATCTCACCTTTGCTGTGGCAGGGAGGTGGCACCTCTTCCTTTTCTTCTCTTGCTGGCTCTGAACAGCTTTAGTTACTCCCCGTGTTTCAGGAGTAATTCTCTGTTCAGGTCCTTGTGTCTCTTTCTGCAGCAGACACGGGATATGTGTGTTCTGCTTGATTTCTCTGTGCCACATGGTTTTACTTTGCTTTCTGTGCATGTGGTTATGTCAGCAGTAACTTCATTACTGCAACTTGCCATCTGCTGACTTCTGTAAACTCTTTTCAGGTAAGATTAAAAGTTGGAATTCCAGACAGTTCTGTAGCCATAACATGAGCCTCAAATTTCTCACATGACTGTGACTTTTGAGGATTAAGTTCAAGGCTGGGGCTTGCCAAGTATTTCAACTATTATGTGGGGGTATCAGTTACAATCTCATTTTATGAGTAAAATACCAATGTTAATTAAATCTTTGAATCACTAAGAAGCCTCAAGCTTCATGTTGGAAGTCTTTTCCTTCTGTGGTGCTGAATTATATGTTAACTGAAATCTAGAGAGAGGAGCCAGGGTGGGCCTCACGTTTTGGCAGAAGTGCTGTGCATGGGGAGTGCTGGATTTGGAATAACAAAAGCAAGACCTGTGGCCTGTCCATTCTCCTCTCAGCTGGTTCTTGTTCCCTGGCAGGTGCAGCTGGTGGCCGCGTGGCAGGAGCTTTGCCAGAGTGACCTGAGCTTGAATCGGCAGCTGACTGAGCTGTACGACACCCTGCTGGGGACCTGGCACTGCCAGCTCCAGTGGGCAGCACAGGTGCAGTGACAGGTTCACGTTGGGCAGGGATGGGAGAGCACAGGGCTGAGCACACTCTGAATTCTCACAGAGCTCCAAATAGCTGATGGCTGCTCACTCTGAGTGACACTCTGTGCCTCATCAGTGCACAGGGGGACAACCCACGTTCCGTTCCTCGTGCAGCCCTTGCAGACAGGGTTTGAGTTCTGGTGTCCACCAGCAACAAGGTTGCTGTGTTATTGACATTAAAGCTGCTCTATCACTTTCATCTGTATCTTAAGTCAAACCTAATTTGTTGGTGTTGCAAATGTGTTCTGTTGCAAGACATTTGAAATGCCTGAGTTGCTTTATCACTTGGCCTGGGGGAAGCCCTCAAGGTTGTGTTGGACTGATACATGTCACTCTCTGTAAGATATCTGATGGCTTCTGCTGTCAC